CCCGACTCACATCTGTGATGGCCTTCTTGGCCTTCTCTTCAGCATTGCGGGCCTCCTGGATCGTATCCTCCATTTCGCTCTGAATCTGAGAAATGTCTGTCTCCAGCTTCTTCTTGGTGTTGATCAAGCTGGTGTTCTGTTGAAGGGCATGAACATCACAGTTTTGGTTTTTTTAGGTTGCTTGATATAGTATCATATCAAGCAATTTGCATAACTTTTCTAATATAGGTTGTGCCATCAGGTCACATTCTATTATAATGGAGCTGCTGCAGTAGCTGTCAGTATCTTAGATATGATGTGCTTCAGTATTTCATGAATGTGCTTCATAAAGTCTTTCCTAACAGTTTCTTAGGTAACAGAGAAGAAATTTAGACTGAAAAATTAAAAAAAGACATGATTTTTCCTTACCATTTTCAATCTAGTGATCATAAAACTTTGAAATGGTTCTATTGAATACTTATAACTACATTGTTAAACTTAATGACAAATGTTAGTGTATTGCTGTTTTGTTATTGGTCGGCTGATGTTTGCCTTTAAAGTGTCAAATGGAAATGTGAAAGATGTTGAACTCAAGTAAGTAATAGAGTAAGAACGTCAGATATCTCTCTGAAATTATTACTTTTAAGGTATCTACGCTGTAGTCTACTGAAATTCATATTGTATCTATGTCTGAAAAGACAGTCTTAATATTATCTGTTACCTATTACTTCTTATTTACTGTGAAATTACTTAGTTTTACAGAATACTGTTACAGTTCAGCCAGTCTTCAGTGGCTGGATATGTAATTTATATGTATGGAGCAAAAGTATAAATACTAAATGTATTTATATACTAACCTGGCTATGTAGAAGCTGAACTCTCTCACTTGCATCCAGGAGCTCCTGCTCAGCCACTTTCCTTGACCGCTCCGTCTGCTCCAGGGCTGCCCGTAGCTCCTCAACTTCAGCCTGCAGCAGGTTTGCTCTGCGCTCCACCATGGCCACCTGCTCCTTCAGGTCCTCTTGTGCCCTGACAGCATCATCCAAGTGTATCTGGGTGTCCTGGAAAGAGAGTCAAGACAGATTGTGAGGTGTGTATTTTCTATTTTCCTATTTTCTGTTTTCCCATCAATATAGAACTGACAGAATTGCACAACAGGAAAAAAATTTAGTTGTGCCAGAAACCAGTCATCGCATGTTTAATTATGTCATACCTTCAGCACTGCTTGTGCATTTCTCAGGTTCTTTTGTGCCTCGGCAGCCTGGCGGTTGGCATGGCTGAGCTGGATCTCCATTTCATTCAGGTCTCCCTCCATCTTCTTCTTCAGCCTCAGGGCTTCATTCCTGCTCCTGATCTCAGCATCCAGGGTGCTTTGCATGGACTCCACGACTCGGAGGTGGTTT